TCAAGTACTGGAAGAAAAATCACCATTTTAATAGATGCGTTTCGAAATGATTTGAAATTGAAAAAAAAAAAAAATACTGCTAAGACAAGTGTGACTAGTTCAGGAAAAGCACCGCAGGAGTTGTAGCTTTAAAGAAACCCTTTTCCCCACCAGCCACAGAATCCTGAGAGGTCCAATTATTCTAACTGACCACACCAGTATTAGACTTTAGAATCTCATAAATACGATGTACTGTAAAATGAGTAGCCTCAGGTAAATCCTTTATGACTTTCATTGGAGACAATCTCCTGTCAGGAGTACAGCTATCATCACAGGCTACTGGTCTCCCCATCCTCCATGTGGTAATACAGTGGTAGGAATCCTTGGCCCTCCAGCTGTTGTGAAACTACAAGTTCCATGAAGCATTGCAAGACTGATAGCCAGAGGCATGAAGGGATTTGTAGTTTCAGCACAGCTGGAGTGACAAGGTTACCTACCCCTGCGGTAATACATAACACGCATTAAAGTATACTTACTATGGTATACACCAGCATCGAAAGGGGCATCATACATCCACAATCAGGATTGCAAGATGGCACCGATACCTCATGTACTGGAAGGAAATCACAATATTAACATGTGTTTTAAGTAAATTAATAATTTATGCCGAAAGAGAAAAAAAAACAACATCTCAAGATTGCCAATGATGTAACATAGGCCTGACCCCCACCAGCTAGACAGTAAAACCATTCGAACAACTGCAGCCTCAGGTAAATCCTTTAGAGCTTCCATTGGAGTTGATCTCCGGTCAGCAGTACAGAAATCATCACAGGCTACTGGTCTGTTCAGTCTTTCATGTGGTGATATATAACACCCATTAGACTACACTTACCATTATGTAACGGATGTCATACAGTCACAATCAAGTCTGCAAGATGGCAATGATGGAGGACGGTGGACACATCCATGCACTGGAAGGAAATCACAATATTAGCAAGTACATTCCTATAAAATGCTAATAAATGCCCACCTCCAGCCCCAACTTAGTTTTAGCTTTGGCTAGAATGGGGAACAGTTAGGACCCCCGTTATATTTTAAAGGTGTACCTGTTGGGACTTCACCTTTCTTCCTGTTCTGTCTGATAAAGAGTGGGGAAAAACAAAAACCTTTCTTCCTGTTCTGTCTGATAAAGAGTGGGGAAAAACAAAAACCTATCAACACAGAAGAGCCCCGATGACCAGAATGACTTGGTATACAAAAACTGACCCTTTTTGGGTCTCGAGCCTAGTTCTACCCCCCTTGTAAGCCCCACTATTGGCCGATGGTGCTGCCATTACAGTGATGGGCTGCAACTCGCTTCCCGTTGTCCTACCTCTAAACAGGATATTCCCCCTTCAGCCTTTCATGAATGCTGTTTCCAGACTCATCCACCTAACCAACTGCTCAGTAGTCGCCACCCCTCTCTGCCAATTCCTATGCTGGCTTTCAATAGCGCAACACATAAAATTCAAATATACTAAGTGTCCTGTGTATATGTATTGTGCAACTTTAGTATAACACATTTTAATTGATTACCAAATTTAGTTACATTTGATATGATTGTTTGCTCTTTGGTGAGATCTTCTTATAGAGGGAAAAATCAATATTAACAAACATAAACCTCTCAAAGTTTAGGTGCCTTTCCTGACCAAATTGTGAAAAAAAAGTACACAGTCTCAGGTAAATCCTTTGATACATCAATATGAGTATATTCAGGAGTACATTTCTCATCACTGACTATGTACATCTGGTATGTCTCCCAGCCACATGGGTGGTCACGTACCTTCGTTCTGTGTTCCAATAGCAGCCATCTGGTCTGAGACCCTGAAAATTAGAACAGACATTTCAGCAGGTAGTTTATGTTTCTGGTTTACAATTGTTGGGTTGGACATATTCTGGCTCTGCCAAGTCTGACAACACACACACACCAGCGTGGACTCCCCATGGCCATTATGGGCTTTTCATCATATGTAGACTGCAGTTATTTCTGTTCACAATCTGCTGTTTAAGGAAATCCATGGTGACAAATACATAGGTTGCTGTTACAGATTTCCACGTCAGGAAGTGCGTCTTCTGATCATCTCGTCAATCGAATAACTTTAAGCACAACTCCAGCTTTGTGGAATTAATAAACCCGATCTTCCCTAAGGACCCATTCACACTTGTGTTGTAGCACACCAATTCACTATTACAGCAGCAGGCAAAGCACCCGCAATTAAGCTGTGTGTGCGCTGTGCTACAATGCGTTTAAAGAGAAAACAAAAATGCCTGTTGCATGCATAAGCGCATTAAGCTGCACTGTCAGACCATTCGAAAATGCACCTAAAGACCAAGTGCACTGACCTAAATTAACCCCCGCTTCCCCTACACAGATGCATAATTACTAAGAGTTGGCAGCTCCAGGCATACAATGGCATTTGTGCTGGCACTCACAGGTCACTAGGCTGCCAATTACACAGCCCACCCACATCCCTGATGTTGCTGAAAGCCCACCAGGGACTGAGGACACCGAGCCACCAGCTATTATGTACTATTGCTGGGATTTGTTGTATTCCTCTATAGCTGGTGGTATTCTGCATTGCGCTGTATAATGTGCTTTTGCTGGGTTTTGCAGTCCTCTATAGCCGGTGCCATTCTGCATTCATTGCTGTATAATTTTACACTTTCCTTTTCACTATATTGCACACCACACCATTTTTTTACTTCCACCGCGCCAAGCTTGCTCCTGTGATGGACTACAACCTCAATACAAACTAGTTCTATCATTGGAGCCATTTTTTAAACTTTATTTTAGTGTTTATCCGATTAACCGAACTTAATAAATCGGCTAACTAATCGATTTTGAAAATAATCGTTAGCTGTAGCTCTAGTGTGCTGTATGGAATAAGCCATCCTGCACCCCTACAGGGGTAACAGGGTGTGGGGCCTTTCTGAGGTCTGAAGGCACATGCATCGGAGCTGATCTGAAGCCTGAAAGAGCATGCAGTGGAGCCAGTCTCAGGTATTGTAACTGGACTGAGGTCAAAAGACACATGCATCAGAGCCAGTCTGAAGACACATGCATTAGAGCTGATATGAGGTCTGAAGTTGCATGCACTGTTTCAGTTTTGATCAATTCTAGAGCTGCAACCAACTATATCGAGCAATAATAATAGTTGTCAACTATACTCGATTAGTTTGATCCCCTAGCTCTCTTCTCCACACTGGGCACATTAAGCAGGGGGCAGATGTAATAGCCAACCTGCTATTGGACCAGCCCACCACCTGCTGTTTTTACATTCAGCTGCTGTCTGCTGAATCTTGCCACTTGCAGCCGCCATTCAAGCGCCATGTGCTCACAATACAATTATTCTTTTAAATATATTAAAAAAAAAAGTGGGGAAAAAAAAGGCATCTTCAGTTTCAGCCAGATAAATTTGGCTGCGGGAGGTGCGTTGCAGCGCCATTCATTTCAATGGCACCCCAAACACACCTCCCACCCACAGTGTGATCACCTGCACTGGAACAAACAGAACCGCAATGTCATGCACTCCAATGACGTGCGATTGTGCATGTAGTTTTATTCTGAAGCGTTATGTTTGTAACACGGCATTTGTGTATTTTATTTTAAAAGGATGGTAATAGTAAATTACATTTTTAAATAGTATACAATATTAAATATGATTAAATAATATATAATTAACAAAATGATCCCGTCATCAGTGGTAGAGGTATGGAAGCAAACTTATTAAACCTCCACAGACTACAACTTACTAGTGCTCCCTATGACAATGATGGTGAAGGAGATCGCTGACCCCGGTGTAGATGCCCCCTCCATGCTGTGCACATGTCGTCTCGGGCCTCACTTCGCCCGTACACGTGGGAGGCCAAACACACACACGATCAATCCCGACACAGACCATTCCTAATCGGGTCTACAGCACACACAGCCCTCACTGGTCCCTCCATCACACATAATTCTACTCATCATTTCTAAGATTTCTCTATGTAAAAGCAGCACACGACTCACCCCATATCAAGGAACACGCCGACTAAGGCTGGGCGGTATCTCACTTCCTGCCTATAACCCCACCCATTTCCCTCAGCCAATCTTAGTATAAAATCCACTTACAATCAAATGTCAACACTCTCTTTCTTGTGCGCACCGCCCGATGGAAATACATCGCACGATAAACTCACTCAGCAACTTTTAAACTTTGTAAACTTTTCAGGTCACGTGACGCGTCCAGTTGTTGTTCCTCTCATGGCCGCCAAATGTCGCGGCAGCACAGAAAGTGCCCAGTTGTTGTTCCTCTCATGGCCGCCAAATGTCGCTGCAGCACAGAAAGTGCCCAGTTGTTGTTCCTCTCATGCCGCCAGGTGTCGCTGCAGCACCGAAAGTGAGATGTGACTGCGCCATGGCAGCAGAGACTGACTGCTGAAGATCATCTATACCTGAAAGTGTTTCTGATCTCACTGCCATATATTCTTCTTCTTTGCCTTTTTTAGTTTAAAATTGTTAAAGCTGAATTAAATCTGTTATTTTTTTAGTTTTGGATATAACCACATGTTCTATCTAAAGTTCCAACATATCGAGTTCTCCAACTGGTTGACTTTCGGTTTAGTTAGAACTAAGAGGTTTGGGCAAGAAAGCTCTTCTACACGAGCGCCAGCCGCGGCATTACCCTATACACATACACCACAGCAACGAAGTATTAAAATGAACTAGGATCACACTAATCTAGCACGTTATTAAACTCAATATGGCCGCCGCTTGAGTGGGGCACCTGAGATTAATAACGTGCTAGTGTGATCCTAGTTCATTTTAATACTTCGTTGCTGTGGTGTATGTGTATAGGGCAATGCCTCGGCTGGCGCTCGTCCAGAAGAGCTTTCTTGCCCAAACCTCTTTGTTCTAACTAAACCGGAAGTCAGGCAATTGGAGAACCTGAGGAGTTGGAGCTTTCGATAGAGCAAGTGTCTGTGGTGAGAAGCTGTTTCCGGTTCGAGCTCTTCCTTCCTGTCCTCTGAACACCGGTTGTCCTCTACAGCTGCCATGCCTGAGATCGGCAAAGAGTCCAAACAGCGTCTGCAAAAGCTATTCAAATGCGGCCAGTTCACAATCCGCTGGGGATTCATCCCCCTCGTCCTGTACCTAGGTCAGTCATTGTTTGTACACAGCCGTGCACTGTACCGTAATAGCTCTTCCTGGGGGGGAGGGGTGCCACTTCTCCACAGCAGAACATGCAAGGCCTTCCTAAATGATAGTAACAAACTACATTGTTAACGTGTGGTGGAGTCAGCATTGCAAGCTGTCCTTATTGAAAAGTTTTGTGATCCCCAACTCTTAACAGATTTTTTTATTCCTTACATATTGTTGTTTTCCCAGTGATGTCAGCAGTGCGTGTTCAGTTAAAAACTACACAGTGCCTTGCTTAAAGGAGAACTATGGGGTTAAGGCTTTTCCACACAGTTCTCCTTAGGGTAACGGGAGGACACAAACTAGCGTCCTCCCGTCACCCTAGGCTCAGTTTTTCCTGCAAGCTGCTGCTCGCGGTATACTGAGACTGGAAGCGGATCCCGACAATTATGCCGGGATCCGCCCAGCTGCGTGACTGACAGCTGGCTCTGCCTATCTAGAGGCAGAGCCAGCTGTACCCGCCCCCTCCCCCGTCCGTTCCGCCAGTCAGTGCTGGAGGATCGGGGAGGGGGGAATCCTGACACGGCAGAGAGCCATGACAGGATCGAGAGGTGAGTGAACGCCGGTATGTGTTCGCTCACCTCCCGATCTACTGAGCCGACCTGTGACAGTGTCATTGTCACAGGTCGGCTAGAACTATGAGGTGAGTAAAAAGCGCTCACCTCATAGTTCTCCTTTAAAACAGAACTGAAGCCAACCCTTTTTTTTTTCTTTTGGGTCACATGAGTATACATACTAATGTACTGCTATGATCCAAACTCAGCATATAGTGGGCTACTTCCCACTATTTACTCACAGTGCAGAGGTGCTCTGCAGCTGGGAAAGAGCCCATTAATATTTCGGGGTCCACCCGGCTGCCTGATTGGCAGCTGACTCTTCCTCTCTAGATTCAGAGCCAGCTGTGCCTGCCCCCTCCCCTGTGTGTCCCTCCAGTGAGAATTGGAGGAACAAGGAGGGGAGGGGGGAATCTCTGTGGAGAGCGGTGACTGACACTCACTGCTCTCTGCATGGTGAAGACCATAAGCTGTGCAATCAGCGGATTGTGATTGCTCAGCTCTCGATATATAGAGCCGGCATTTGACACATAGTAGTAGTTACCTAGAGCCGGCATGTGACATACAATTAAGCGTGTTAGGGGCACAGGTCTTTTTTGGAATTTTCAGTGTCACGCACCGGCTCTAAGTATTGGGAAGAGTATTTTTTACTCTTCCAATACTTCTCCTTTAAGCCTTTTAATACATATCAGGCACCATGAGGCTTGTTCTTATCTCTACCTCTTTGATCTGCTGACACGGCTCCTAAAATTTCTCTGCAGGCTATCACTCACTTAAAAGGTGGAAGATGGCCCAGGCAGAGCAAGCCCCCCCACCTGCATATCATTTTTGGGGGGCTTCTATAACTGAAGGCACAAAAGAGATGGTGTAGCAAGGCAGTGGAGTGAAAGAAAAGCCCTTGGTAAGCTACGAGTCACTGGAGTCATAATTTACACAGTGTTAACAATTCCCTTGCGACAATGCTGATAGGCCTAGCACTGTTAAGGTGCCCATACACTGCTCGATTCTCATACGAGAATCGGGCGAAATCCCGCGATCGTATGAGAATCGAGCAGTGTGAACTAAGACGTGCGACCGTTTCTACTGCCCGTTCTGCATTGCCGTCATCGGAAGCCCGCCCCTCAGCAGGGCCGGCTTCCGATAATCGCAAGTACGATCTGCCCGTCCAAGGTGGGCAGATCGTACGGGCTTTTAATGAGCATACGACCATCGCAAGACAAAAGTCTTGCGATGGTCGTAAGGTGTATGGGCACCTTAACATGGACTGAGTCACATGCTCCTCCACACCTGAATGTATCTGGTATTTTATATACTTCTCTTGGGGTCAAAGTTGTTTTTTTTGCACTTATAAAATGGACATAAAGTGCTTTTATTAGAGCTAAAGCTTAACTCTGAGAATTAAAAAAAAAAAAATGACCCTTGCAGTAGGGGACCCCCTCTTTGCAGGAGCTATATGCTCATAAAGACTAGGGGTAGAGGAATAAGGTGTATTAGTTGCCTTATTTCTCGCTACAACATTCTTCTGTTCTCTCCAATGCTCTGGTTTGTAGGGAACAATGCATGTACAGTGCAGGGTGTGACCGCTGGCTGGCAGCGCCATAGAGAAGAAGCTTTGGGGACCAGTCAGTGGGGAGTGAGGTAAGTATTACTCATTATTTCTTTACCCCTGGGCAAAAACCAGCATCTACCCCTTGCAGTCCTGGGGGTCCACTTCAAGGAACGTTTTATTTTTTTTAATTCCCGAAGTCCAGCTTTAACAGAACAAAAGATAGCAAATATAAGATCATTGTTTGGGGTTTTTACACTTAAAAGCAACCAGTTGCTTTGCCCTGAATAGGCAAAGTGCAATAGGGACTCTGTTATGGAACAAAATAAAACTGCCGCAGCTATAAAGTGCAGGAACCTAGTGGTGTCTGCTTATACCTGCAGCAGCCTCCAAGCCCTTGCTTTAATGAACCTCCTAGATGTCTACACTGTCGAGGGAATTTATAAAAACTGGAGCAGACAAAATCTGGAGCAGCTGTGCATGGCAACCAATCAGCTTCTCTCCTCAGTTTGTTCATATAAGATTTAAAAATGAGAGAGAGGCTGATTGGTTGCCATGCACAGCTGCTCCAGATTTTGTCTGCTCCAGTTTTGATAAATTCCTCCATGTCCTATGAAAGTGAACAGTCCAGTCAAATTATATCCAGGTAAGTAGACATAGTAGGTACATTTAATTGTTTTGAGAAATCAAAATCTAATTGTATGTGGCCTGCTTTTTTAATGGGAACAGTGATGATTGTAAACGAGCATAGCTTGTGGCAGTCCTATACTGGCCTGAGCTATCAGACGCTTATTTATTACTAAGAACCGCTGTTATTTTCCCACAACTGCAAATTGGAGGCAGACTTTATAGAGCATGTTTAAATATGATTGACATTTGTAGGAAAGTTATTTCCGTCCTCACTATTGACTCTTACATCAGAGGCATTGTACATAGCACATAGTATAGCTACTGCTGAGCAAAGCGATTATTCAGACAAGTTTTCCCTAGAATGCTGGGAAATCTGTTATGACACATGGGCTGCAGTTTTCTTCTTCATTGGAAGTAAAAGGAACTTTCATTTGCACACAATGCACGTAACATCCCAGTTGTAGGAAGCCCCAGGGGGGAGACAGCTAAAGCTGGGAGGTCCCTTGAGACAGAACTCAGTCATTAGGGATGGGGAAGTCTGGGTTTATGGGGTGTTCATTCAAACCTCTCTGAAATGTGTGAAAAGAGAACTTAACGGAGAACTCCGCTGAAGTCTTTGGGGGTGAATCTTGTTACTACATTCTGGCCTTTTCCAAGCATAATAGGCAAACTATTGTCAAAACATTTGCATGGGGAGCTGGATATTTAACAAAGCTAAACAAAATAAATACTGTACATAGGGGAGAAGGTCTTTCAATGCAACTTAGAGGGCGGCCTTAAAAAAAACACCAATCCTTTAAAGGGCAACTCCACTTTAAAAAAAGAAATAAAAATGAAGAAAATATCTATCTATCTATATCTTCCTCTGTCATTGCACTCATAGGTGTGATTAAATGGTTTTTGTGGATGGACTCCCGATGTCGCTTGTTCTGTCTCAGCAGTCCTTGATCATGGTGTGTGTGTGTGTCCACAGCCGGGGCCTCCAAAAGATTTCTATAGGGAAGAGTAAAAATCCAAGGTCGACACTGTCTGTAAACTGTAAAACCCCTTTCCCACTGAGGAAACACCAGAGTTTAAATTAACTATTAGGTTTGGGAAGGGAAGTTGAGGTCATAATATTAGAATAGTGGACAAAGCAACTTTTTACAGAATGTTTTTCCATACCAGACCAGAGATAGAAATCTCTACTTTCCCTCTTGTTGGTGAGTGATTGCAATTCATAGAGAAGGCTTTTGTTTATTCAGCTGGGATGAAATGACAACCCAGTATTAGTATTTATCATGACTTTTGAAGAATGCCATAATACATGTTCCAGAGGGAGTCAGCCTCATATAAAACCTGAATATGACAAAGGCTGCACAGATTTGTGAAGGGTCTTTCCATTAATAGTAGCGATGTTTACTGCCAAAAAAAAAGTCAGTTCACAAAATATACACAGGAACTGGATGTATTATAAGAAGGTCCATTATACCCTTTGATAACATTTTTCTTTAGTGCACTGAATGGCACAGCAGCACACCAACGCACATAACAGTAACGCACACGGGTGTATACACCTATGAGTGTTAATACACGTTACATCTGCTCATTCGTTTCCCATGAGCCCTAACAGGGTCCAATGCAGCAAAAAGCATATCTGGCCCATGTTTGGCTAATGCAGTCCATTACAACATGTGTGTCTTCACATCTGTTCATAAGGGTCAGGTACATTGTTTAGTTCACTGGGTTAACTGTTGTCAGCTGACAATTCTGCCACTGCTACTCTGAAACCTCAAGAAGTGTTGTCAGCCCTGCCTGTGGTTTCCCCTGCAAACTATAGAACACCTCCCCTCCTCATCTCCATAGCATATGAGGGAGGTTTTTTGTAGTCTGGCAGGGGAGTACCCAGACAAAACTGCCTTGGATCTCGGTGTAGCAAAGACTTCATTGTCTGCTGACAATAGGAACTTTGGAGCTCACTGGATTTCTGGGCGAGCTACGGGTATTTGTTTGTACTTGCGGATATCTACTGCATTTTGATTTTATTTTGTTCCAACATTCACTTTCCATTTCTTTTTAGATTTGTGGTTTGCAAAGTGGCTGTAGGTCATATTCTATGCAGATCAAAGGATAAGCCCTTGGTCTATTATGCACTACGCTTAGGCGCCATTCACACCGATTTCTTTTGGTGCGATTAGGGATTCATGTGTCAGGAACCTGCAATTTCCTGCAGCAGGAATCCCTAATCTGGCGTTTTACAAGCGGCAACTGTCACCCATTGAGGTTCATGATCAGGTGATGGCCGCTGCATCTGAACGCCGGCACACCGCATCTAATTGTATGTGATATGATTACATGCTGTTAGGAATCCACCACTCTCCCTTGACGCACGATTGATGCATCCAGTGCGTTATCAGGAATCCCTAATCGTATCTAAAGATGTGAATGTATTATAAGTATAATCGAGGGAGGCAAGCACTCACTCTGACTGTGAAACTGACACCCAGTTACTCCAGAGCAGACGATAAAGGGGGAAGTCTTCACATGATGATTTGTACACCCAAGGTTTAGAACTAGCTCATATTCATGTGAAAGGAGATAAGTGAAACCTAATTTCTCGTCGGTGTTATTTTTACCATGGTATTTTTTTGGGTTTCATTTTGATATAATGCCAGTCTGGGCTCAGTTCCTGTCATAGAAGTATGTTTTATTGTTTAATGCAAGCATTTCAGATTTTTGGCATATCTCAGCTGGGTATCATATACAATACCGCGCAGGTAGCTCCAGCCTAAAGAATTTTTTTGGGAGGGGGGGGGCGGGGGGAGTCCTTAAGATCTTTAAACTGGCCCAATCTAGAGGATGTCAATGTATTTGTATTGTTTAGTTAATTTACTATATTTATCTATGTTCAAGGCAAAAATGTACATTTCTTTTTTTTTTTTAGTATTGCTTGTGTGTATGTACACGCACACACGCATACATGCACACACACTAACTGTATACCACTCTTAAGACGGCCAGTTGGGTGCTGGAAGCTGCTTTTCTGCTATGCTGTGAATAGCCTCTGTGATGAATAGACTTCACTAGGAGCAGATCAGACTACACATACACTTAGTGAAGAGGAAAGGCATCTCTTCTATCAAATATGGACCTGTATGATTTATTTTTTCTTAAGTCAGCGAGTAAAAAAATCTAGCACTGGCCCAGAATCTCTGTAAATGTAATGGTGTTGATGTACTGAAGGAGTAGAGAGCATACATTTAGCTTAATGAATAAGGGGAGGCAAAGATAAAGAGCCCATTTAGGTTTGTGTTACGGTAACCTGTGGTTTACCCTGCCTACTATGGTGTGTTGCCGGGCCATTCATTGGAAATAGCACTCAGAAAGGACTCTGGTAAACATGCCGGCTTTACGCCAGGACCTGCATTTTATTAATAAGCTGTAAAATGTGGGCATGACTGTACATATCTCTACATAACGGTATCCACTCCAGTATCTGGCTGTGATACCCAACAGAAAAACAAGACTTTTAAGATACACATTTTTTAT